TTTATTTTTTTATTTTTTCGTCTTTTTTCGTTTTCTTTTTTTTTTTTCTTTTGATGCCTTGATGGGCAGCATACATGTACGCGTCAGAGTTATGACTCAGTCAATCCCAAGTGTGCCCATGCCCTTTCCCTCCACCCCGCCGGGCATTTGTCTGACAATTGTCATTTTGTTTTGGAAAAGCTGCAAATGCCCCATGGTGGGGCCTAAAAATAGGGTGCAAATGCCCTACCTCAGAACAACCCCAAAATTGCATTTTCCAGTAAAGAAGCTACAAATACCATATTTATGGGAAACCTATAATAATCTGATCAAACTCGCACATGAAGCACCCTACACAAATCGCTTTTAGCCGCTAGCTATAACTATTGCAAAAAAGATCACATTGATGTGACTAATCTCAATGAGAGAACTATTAGAATTTCAATAATACATGTACCTTTCTTATTTTCAAAGATGTGTAACCTCTGCGCATATGACATTGTGGACAAGAAAATTCCTCTTACATGAAGGGAGTCACTCTCAAGGCAGCTTTTAGCCTCATTTTTATGTTTGACCTGTTGTTTTCGAGTCTTCTGATTTTTTCCACGTAGTTGTCTTCGATACAATGTATATCCACGGTTGTCAGAAAGTTTTGAAGTAGACGGCTGAGTTGTCAAAGTAAGCGGCCAGTCCAGGGACATTTTATTTAAAAAACGCCAAGCAGAGTAGCCGGCCAATTCTAACCAATTAGGCAGCAATTTTCGCCGGCAGCCAGCCACCTTTGACAACCCTGATATCGCTTGAATTTGCCAGTTTTTCTTCGAGGTTTCAATTTAAATGCCCAGAAGTGTATTTAAAAATGGCGTTTTGGTACATCAGTCTTTACATTTCATCCTATAATTGAGTCATTTTTTGCTTAAAACATGCATAACTTAACAACATGCCCGGGAGACGAACAAGATCTTACACTCTGGAAGAAGTCACCAGGATTGTCATAGATGTTCCCGATAGTGATATCTCTGACTTTGCGGGCGAAGATGGAGGTGATGCGAGTGACATGCTTGAGCCTAGCTTGGACTCTGGTGATTCAGACAATTAGCTTTCAAATGGTATATTACAAGCCATATTTAGTTTCAGTCTTGGATTTAGATGAATTTTTTTTAAAAGTGACATGAAAATTGCTATATTTACTCAGTGAGTTCTGTCAGATTAAGGGTTGACATAGTGAATGATTAACAAACAACCCACACACTTTACAGGGGTATTTTCTCATCACAATGAAATTGTTGAATTGTCACATTGATTGCACAATACAAGAAGTTTTTATTTACTTTCAAATATCTCGCAGTATTTTACCAGGCCTTTCTGTCTCAACAGTTCATGATCAAAGACAGTGGCTTTTCCTTTAAACTCTTCAAATGATACGTTGATTGTTTTTCCTTCATGTGCAAGCTGATTACAATGGTGGGAAGCAATTTCTTACACAGATGCAAAAAAATACCCCGGGGTAGGGAAGTGATGGAGTGAAAACCACAGATATCTTTTCAAAGCATAGGTATTAAAAATATTCTTTATAATTTTATCTTACTAGGTATATTTTTTAGTGAAATATTGAAAACGGAACGAGATAAACCGCTTCTAGAGGAATTGACAAATGCCCATCCCTGGGCAGAGGTTTTCTGACAAATCCCTACCACCAGGACCAACAAAATGTTAAATAACTGACAAATGCCCTGAGAATGGGGGCGGGGGGTGTGCATGTTTCGAATTGACAAAGTCATTACAAAATGATTAGAATAAATAACTTTTTCCGAGCCTGAATTTTCTTTTGAAAACAACTACAGACTGTGATTTATTATGATTTGACTTCTTTCATATTGTTTTTAACAGGTACTTGAATGTGAATTCTTCTTGTTAGAGATGATGGACTGTTGTTTAATTGTGTACCACCCTTATCGTCCTCTCACACAGTATGTTGCAGATCTTGGAATGGAAGATGCCATTCTTCCAATTGCTTGGCGCATTTTGAATGACAGTTTGCGCACCGATGTTTCTCTTGTCTACCCTCCTTATCAAATTGCCTTGGCTGCAATTTACATGGCTTGTGTCATTCAACAGAAAGATGCTAAACAATGGTTTGCTGATTTGTCTGTTGATATGGACAAAGTACTGGAAATAACACAAGAGATTCTACAACTTTATGAACTTTGGAAAAGTTATGATGAAAGGACTGAGATTCCAGCAATACTGAGCAGGGCACCTAAACCACAAGTGCGGCCAACTTCAGCAACACCAGGCCAAACACCTTCACCTATTCCTCCAGAATCTTAAGCCCGTAGTCTCACGGTTGAACCTCCATTAAGTGGCCACTCTCAGGGTACTGACCAGTGGCTGCTTAATGGGGGCTGGCCATTCAATAGAGGTTTGTCTTAAATTAGAAGAAACTTTAGCAGAAACATCACTTTATTTTGAAACAAACATGCAACAGGAGTGGCATATGTCATCACCTTCCATATCCAAA